TTTTTTTTTTTTTTTGGCAATTGGAACAAATTTTATACCAAATGGTAGAAAATATTATCACTTTAATGGACAATTTTCATAAAAAACGAAACCAAACGGACACCAAACTTTCAACATTTTCCATGAAAAATTATACTAATCAAACACAATTAATTACAATTCCCAGTAAAACATTTTCTAGAAAAATTAATTCCCTGTAAAATATTTTCTTTCCACCCATTTTCCACCCTTGCAATCAAACGGGCCCTAAGTGTACATTCCATTAGTTATATCATAGTGTACATTGTGTGAGAATTCAAAACCTGTTGGGCCAAAAAGTGTTTTAAAAAAAATTGTCCAATCATGTGTTACCGCATGATACAACGTAAAAAAACATGAACACTTGGCATGATTGTATTTTCGAATTGTCCTATTTGATGATTCTTCCAATTGGAAATAAATCTTTTGACTTCATGGACATGGTGATCGTTTTTCCATATAGAAAATTGGCCAGATGCCAGAAATTTTTGTGTGTCGTGTCAAGATTACTAAACACTGAATAAAATTGCATGATATACCTTTATCTTACTTTTGAGAGAAGTAGACTACACAGAAGCAAAGCAAATGTATAAACCAAAATATCATTGGAGGTCGATACAAAGTAGCATGCCTTACAGTCATAATGAAAAACTTCAGAATTAAAACAAAACTTGACCACATAGAACTGCCATAAAATCATCCGTTGCTACATAAGATTTAATATTGCATTGAAGAACTAAAGCCATTACACAGATCACTCATCCTCCTGGCTGCGCAACCTAGCCAATTTGTTGGTCACAACAACATCCAACTGTGCTGCACGCTCGACGATTTCCTTCCTTTTCTTGGTAGAGACATTGTGTGCTATCTCCGCGCAGTAAGTCCTGACATTAAACAAATTAAACAGTCAGAGACAATTTAACAATGCCACAGTATCTTAGAACAGGATAGAAAAAATGAATAGTGACCTGTTGTGCATCATTAAAACCTCCAGTTCTGAGACATTGTGGACAACGAATTTCTTAAATCCATTTGGGAGATAGTGGCGGGTTTTCTTATCTGAACCGTAACCAATGTTTGGCATAAGGGTGCATCCTTTAAACTTTCTCCTCACACGTGAATCAATACCCTTGGGCCTGCGCCAGTTTGTCTGTGCCACAAGATGCATAAATGAATGACTTAACATCAAAGATCAGCAGCATTAACATGGACAGCAGTTTAGGCATCAACTCACAATAAGGCAAACTAAACAAGTAAAAAAACCATCCCAAAAAATGGAATTACATTATCACAATACTGAGAGAGTACGCGATTATAAAAACAGCCAGATAAATATTGAAGAAATAAGTTTGTCAAAAATTAAGTAACATAATAACAAAATTGAATGCTGGTACTAAAATTAATAGCTCTGTATAACTGAAACTTCTTAATTCTTAACGACAAACATTCCATGTATAGAAATAACAAGGCAATAACTAGAATCTGGGAAATAAATCATATTGATCACCATCAAAAGATACCAAATTTTTACCATCCCCTGATGTTAATAGAAACTACAACTCAGGTAAAAATTGAAATAATAATGAAAAATCTACTCATTAGCCATTTATCTGTTGCACTTCTTGACACAGAAAGCATGGATAAATTGACAAGTACCTTCAAGGAGGCATAACGATCACTCTCGTGCCTCTTAAACTTCTTGACACGCTTCTTGATAATCTTCTTGCTGAGCAACGGAACAGCCATCTTGTTTCTACAACAAAATTACCTTCATTTACATATGAAATTCAGAGGTAGATGACTGACACAAGACAACAAATGTACAACTAACTGGTATAACAGTTAACTGGCATCTCAAAATATTGGTAAATTTATATCATACAATAGAACGAACAAGAAATTTCAAACCATACACTGAAGCAAATCTTTTACACTGAAAATAAATTTGACAAGAGTATCATACCATCGAAAATCAAATTAGATATACATGAAACATTTCCTACATTCTCAGTCGTTTGTTATAGTCGGCGACTCGGCTATAAGTTACTTTCTCAAGTACAGCTTATAAAAAATAAATACTTTATTCATTTGAGTCATTAATAACATGATACTCAGGAACATGAATCAGTGAAAAATGATACAAATTGGTTTCTGACAAAGATGAGTAATAGAAAAATCGAACCATAAACCGATTATATAAATCAGTGAAAAATGATACAAATTTGGTTTCTAACAAAGCTGAGTTATAGAAAAATCGAACCTTAAACCGATTATATCAATCAATTCGTGACAAAAGTGCGTATATTCATAATATTTGAATCTCGTATTATCTAAAAAAGAGTAATCGAAGCAATCTAAGCAAACAAGCCGAAATTATATGTATAAATCGAAAAATTTACAGAGACGCTTATACGTTTGTATGAGTTTGTGGAAGAGAAAGAGGTCGAACCTTGTTGCGACGCCGAGAGGGCTCCTGTGTGGTGGCGGTAAAAGAAAAGACGAGGCACCAGCTAGGTCACGGTTTTATACTTGGTCCGTTTTGGGTTTAGGGCTCAGTACTAAATTATTGCTTATCAGGTTGGATCCAGTTACTTACTGGGTCTGGTATAGAAGGAATAGCCTATTAATAAAAGCCCTCTTTCTTCGATCCACAAGGCCCATGGGTTCATTTGTTACACATGACGATTTTCTCATGTTGATCAATCAAGTACTTGGATTCTCAATTAATTTAGTGGAAATTACACAAAACCCTAGTTTAAATATTCAGTATTCTAAAATCAGATGGAAAGTTTGATATTTCAAAAATCAGATATATTATATTTAAATATTAAATATTAATTATACAAATTTCATTTTCCAAACCCTAATCCTCTCCCCTCCATCTCTCGCTCTCTCTTCACATTTCACACTCCTCATTGGCAGCCGCTCTACCCTATCCCTCTGTCATCGCTGTTGAGGAATGCCCACCGTCGGAGACATCTCCTATCCCCGCTACAAAGCCACATTTGATGTAAGATCGAGCAGCGGTTCTCTCCTTATCTTCTCTTCATATCTCATATCTCTCCCTCCCTCAAACTGCCATCACCATTGAGTAGTGCCATCCGTCGAAGATGTGAGAGTCTAGCAGCGGCATAGTTGCTGTAGTGTGACGCCCTCACAGCCGGCAATGTGAGTCAGTTGGCCGAGCAATATGAGTAATTTTGCCGGTCGGTGGATCTAGGTAGTGGTGCTATGGTGCGGTGCAGATAATGGCGTGGTGGTCGGCATTTGTTTGTGGTGGTGATTTAGGGCTTTTGTGGTGACTGGTGGTGGCGAATCTTACTTTTTCTTACGATGGTGTTACAGGTGTTTGATGGTGGTTGTTGTGTGGTCTTGGGTTGTGGTTTGGATCTGGTGATGTGTGGTTGTGGAGGTGGAGGTGATGGATATGTAGTGGTATGTTTTAGGCTGTGGTGATGGATCTATGGGGCGGTCCGTGTGGTGGTGATGGTGGTCCGGGTTGCTAGACGGCAATACGGTGGCAATTTTTGTGGTGTGTTGGCGATTTTGGATCTGGTTTGTTGGTGGTAGGGTTAATACCCTCAATAGTCACTGGACTTTGTCAAAAGTTCCCAAGAGGTTACCGAACTTCAAAAGTTCACTAAATAGTCACTGAACTTTGCAGTAAGTTCCTAGGAGGTCACTGAACTTCGTTAATACCCTAAATAGTCACCGAACTTTGCCAAACTGCACAGTTCCTAATTGGTGAATGAATCATTGATGTACGGGTCTTAATTTACAAAGTTCGCTGACCTCTTAGGAGGTTTTGGCAAAGTTCGGTGACTATTTAGGGTATTAACGAAATTCTATGACCTCCTAGGAACTTATTGCAAAGTTCAGTGACTATTTAGGGAACTTTTGAAGTTCGGCGACCTCCTGAAAATTTTTGACAAAGTTCAATGACTATTTAGGGTATTAACCCTTAGTGGTAAGTTGGTGCTAGTTGCAGTGTTTGAGATGACGGTGCTATCGGGAGATGGTGGTGGTGGTTTTGATGGGGACAGTTATGATGCCCATGCGATGACGGCAGTCGTGGAGTGGTGATCACAAATGTTGGTTTCAGTCACAAATGACTTAATCTGTGACCTATAAACAACACGTGACCAAGAAATATTATGTGACTTTAAAATTCGACAATTTGTGACTAAAAATTAATATGTGACTTATAATTTTTTTATTCGTGATCAATAAAATAATCTATGACCTATAAAATTATTGATTTGTGACATCGAAATAATCTGTGACCTACAAAATTTTTGATTTGTAACCGATAAACAAATTGTGACCCATAAATTTTCTGAACTGTGACAGTAGAATAATTTGTGACGTATAAAAATTATGATCTGTAATCGAAAATAATATATAACTGACTAAATTGTGAATCTATGATCATATTGTATAAATCTATGACTTTAATATATTTAATTAATAAAAAAAATTAATTAAATCATAAATGAATTTTAATAAAAATTTGATTTTTGAAATTTTAAACTTGTTTTCTTAGTTTTGAAATGGGCTATACTTATGCTCTTGTTTATGAAATTTTTCCATTAATTTATGAGAAAATTACCTTAAAGCCTACATTTCAATTTTCAATCTAAAAAATTAGTTACCAATTATTTTTTATTCAAAAATCAAGTTATAATTATTTTTTAATTTAAAAATCATATGATACACCCCATTACCTCGTATCCCCACTTTCTAAACATTTGAACTGGATCACAACACCTAACCCTGTTCCTCACCGACCCTATTGTAAATATCTTCCTTCCCATTACAGAAAACACACACTCTCTCTCTCTACAGGAAAAATTCTCTCTTTATATAAAACACTTTCTTTCTTTACAGAAAACTCTCTATCCCTCAATCCATTGAATCAAGTGTCTTGGTTTTTGCAAACGACTTGGTAATGACGATGACCGTAGAAGTGGTGGTTCAATGGAGGTGGAGATCATGGTGGATTTGAGGTGGATGTGGAGGTTTTTCGGCCATCGTCTTCCTCCAAACCTTGTCTATTTCCAACCATCGTCTCTCTCTCTCTCTCTCTCTCTCTCTCTCTCGATCGTCATCAGCAACGATGGTTTTGTCACTAGTGGTGAATGTGGTCGTATTGAGGTGGTGTACATTTAGTTCTAGATGGTGTTGGGAGTGCTGATGGTACCGGAGTGGTAGTGATGACTACAACCTGGTGTGACTAAGTCTATTTTCAGTGTGACTGTCTATGACCAAATCTGTGTTAACTGTGACTATATGTGACTTGGTTACATACGGTCATAAATTAAGGGGGTGTTTGACACCCATTTTAATAGAAAAATTAGTTTTTGAATAGTGATTGATGGAAGAATGTGTGGTTAAAAAATAAGGAGAATTTTTAGGTTTATGTGTAATATTATTTTCTTGATAAAATGTGCGGTTGAAATAAAAAAAGAGAAAAGAATGAGAATGAGAAAAAAATGGATGTCAAACGGGGGCTAAATTGACATGGTTACAAACAATCACACTGAAAACAAATTTGGTCACAGTGATATTGCTCCGTCGAGTGTCGCTACTAGTAGCTGTGAGTAGCGCGATCTACATGTGGATGTGGTGGGCGGTGATGTCGGTGGTGCTGATGGTGGTAGTTGGGACTTCTTGAAGGTGTTAGTGGTTGTGGTTGTGGTGATTGTTGTTGTGGATTTGAGGTGAAGGTAGTACTTATGGTTGCTCTGTAACGACTCGACCTTGCGCTGAATCTGTTATCATATCGTATGTATTGCGCTTTGGGAGGGCCCGGCCCATCTTACCCCTCACGGCTTTCTGACGCGTCCCCTCAAGATTCGAACTCAAGACCTCCATTATATGGGATTTCTATGCTTAATCGACTCCATTTGTCTCACTTCTAAAATGGGATTTCATCAAACTCATAGAACATCTGGATGAAATGGAGTTCTCCCATATGATGGAGGTCTTAGATTCGAATTTTGGGGGACGCGTCAGAAATCCATAAAGGGTAAGATGGGTCTGGCCCTCCCAAAGCAGACAATACGTACGATATGATAACGGCTTAAGCGTAAGGTCGGGTCGTTATAAAAAAATGCTTGTTTTTTTATAATGACCTGGCTTTGCGTCGAAGTCGTTATCATATCGTACGTACTGTCCGATTTGAAAGAGTCTATGCCCATCTTACTCCTCACGGATTTTTGACGCGTCTCCTGAGATTCAAACCTAAGTCTCCCATATGATAGAGGTCTTGGGTTCGAATCCTGAGGGACATGTCAGAAATCCATGAGTGATAAGATGGGCTAGACCCTCCTAAAACGGACAATACGTACGATATGATAACGGCTCCGACCCAAGATCGGGTCATTACACTCTAAACATGTGTTTATTGTGATTGGTTGTGACCAATTATATGTTAATTGTGACTTAATTACATACCGTTACAGTTAAGGTTGACTTGATCATAGACATACAAATTTACTATATTATATTATATCGAAAGAAAAAAATATAATATATATATATATATAGATTTAACATTTGGATTTTGAAATAATTTGGCAAGTTTGTTAGTTTTGAAATGTGATCGTTATAGTGTAGTAGTTATGTATCGTTCCCTTAATTTATTTCATAGATCTTTAATATTTCCTTGTTCAGATAGTATAGAAACTGTAAAATGACCATATATGTGTAACAAAGTCTTCACCAACGAAGAAATTTTGAACAAAAAGTTGGAACTTGTAGATAGATAGAAGAGAAAAACAAAGCAATACCAAAAGTTTTTTCGATATATACACCGAATAAGGAAAAAAAAGGAAAAAAGAAAGAAAGGTATGAGACTTTCTACAAACATTCAACACGATTTAAGTTGAATTTGTCGCTCAATGAGCTAAAAGTGTCTTATGGAATGTGACTTTGAGACGTTCTTTTAGACGTCTCTAATGCAACATTGTCGTTCTTATTTTCAACATATATTAACTAAGACATTCGTGCTGTATAAGTGAATGTTGAAAAATATCTATGTTCATTGAACGAACAAGTTTTTTGAAAACTTAAACTGTATGCTTCATGCATATAATAATAGTATTATTAGTCAAAATAGACGAGTTGGTTATAACCACATTTAAAAGACTCATATAAAGTCGAGTCCAGATCTACTATCCAGTTTTTGTTATCCACACAATTAATTATTAACACATAATTTTAAATTTACATGCTCAACTTTTCTCCAACTAATCCTTATGCTTAAAAATATGTGACATTTTAATGTAAAATGATGTGTCAATAATTAATTGGTGAACAATAAATTGGACGGCAAAAATTGGACAACAGATCTCAACTCTATAAAGTCTCATGCATTGCCATATAAGTCTGGGCTAAAATCATGGTGTCAAGAGTTGTGCATTATATCTTACGATTCTATTTTTCTCATTTCTTTTTTTTGCACAAGGTAAGGCTTTACAACTTTAGGTACTGTTCAAACTGCATATCGAAAAATTTCAAGTTTCTCTAATAAGTTCAATTTTGCTTGAATTGGAGTTAATACCCTAAATGGTCGCTAAACTTTGCTAAAAATTCTTAGGAGGTTACTGAATTTCAAAACTTCTCTAATTAGTCACTGAACTTCGCAAAAAGTTCATAGGAGGTCACTGAATTTCGAAACTACCCTAAATAGT